TCCCCCCGGCCCCGCTCTTTCTGCAACAAATGTAAAGAATAAAGTGGAGGCCATTAAGGTGGAGTCAGAAGTTCAATGGGTAAGGGTTGAAGTTACCTTCCATGTGAATATTTCATGCTGCTTTTACAGTTTACATAATTGTTCCAGGGCACATAAGCACATTTTCACATACTTTTCAACATTCTAAGTCTATAGACATAAATCAAACAGGGAAGGAAAAACACAGCTATTAGATAGATAGATAGATAGATAGATAGATAGATAGATACTGTTTTACTGTTCACAGCAGTTACCTTCCTCTGTCCTACACCCTTTCCACCTCTCAAATTCAAAAAGGTTATGATGGTGTACCAGTGTTCTTTCCAGTGTCTGCCATGTAGGAAACTAGCAGAGTTCTGTTTCAGGTTGTAACTTCAACAGGTACTTCATGAAGCTGTTAGCAAGAAACTGTCTAATTACAACTAAAGACAATTTGTTACATCTTTTTATTGTTAGAAGAAACTTAACTGTTGAATTAGAAACAGAAAAATAAGAAATGTGCTTTCTTTTCTTATTAGTGTCAGCAAAAAATTATTCCTGATCAAGACCAGCTTATGATTACGGCATTGGAATGTATTTATAGTTGTGAACGAGATGACCAGCTCTCTCTCTGTTATGATATTTTGGAGTGCCTTCCACAAAGAGGATATGGGTAAACATTTTCAGCTAGTTATTTGTAAATATTTCAGATATTTTAGTATAGTTGTGAATTAATTCTTAAAAAAATATTCGTGAAGTCACTAACGGGTAGGTAGTGTTACTGGTATATTCTGTTCCTATCTGAGTTGCCATGGTCATGTGTATGCTTGTGCTGTATATACACACTTGTGTTGTATTTATACTTCATCAAATAGTGCAACAAAGCATCATTTAAGGTAGCAGCCTAGACCAAGGCTTCCATGTTAATTCCTTAGGCTTTTATATCCTGGTGAATTAAGAACAAGTGTTAGTGCTGTCTTACTGGTCTTGGTGGTCTTGCTGCAGTTTGTGGCATCTTGCACTTAGCTTATAAGCAGCAATACGGCCCTGTGAGAGAGGTCTCTATATGGAAGACCTATATGAAGGACAAGTAATTCTCAAGAAAGTGAAGGCATGAGGAGCAGATATAAACTGTTTTCCTAGTATCTTTTACATGTAGGAAGGAGAGAGTGTATGTGTAAGGAACAAGCAGGAAAACAAAGCACTGTTCTTGGGAGACTGAGGAACCCTCTCAATTTTAGTAGTCCTTCCAGCAAGAAACAGTTTTAATTTTTTCAAGCAAACACATATGTGATTTTCATCAAGGAATGTTTCAAACTGCTTATCTTTGTTATGTGAATTATATGAAGAAATGGCAAGAACTATGGGGATATATATTTAATATTAATCGTATAATATTATTTGCAGGTCTGAAACAGATAAAACTAACACTCTTCATGATGAAGTAGATGAACTGGAACAAATTCTTAGGTATTTAATTTTGCTAAAATAAGTAATGTATTCTTATAGAAGTCACTATGCATGCCTAGAACTTTTTATGATAAGAAAGCAGCAAGATTATTTACATTTATTTTCATCACTTAGAAATTTTGAATGGTTTTAGCTATTAGTTATTGGTGGCATGCATTTAGCCTACAGTATTGTATTTTTTTTTATTAAATCTTATTCTGGCTAATCCATACTGTTACAGACTTTATGGAGACTTTGCATTTGAAGTACATTGTCTGAGACAGCTGTAAGACTGCTGCAGCAGAGTTAGCTGTACAACTGCAGAATTAAAAGGTTCATTTATAGTGTTTCAGAGCTATTGGAGAAACATGGACTTCAGAAACCTGTTTCCTTTGTGAAGGACACAAAGGACAATGCAGAGGAGGCACGGAAGCTGATGATCAGGCTGACGAGGCACACCGGTCGCAAGTTAGTATTCAAAGGGGAATGGGAGATAAGAGGGAAAGGACAAAAAGGTAACAAGTATTTACAGTCAGAGAGCGTACCTGCCTATTCTGTTGCAGTAGGGAACTGTGGTGTTCAACTGAACATAAAACACATTTGTTAAATTGATGATTAACATCTTTAGTGTTTTGCCTGCATTCTCCACATTCAAGAAACTATGTCTTACTTCAGACCTGTTTCAATATGTTTGCATTCAAGCAAACACCCCTAAGAGACATACTGGCTGCAAGATGATGAACAGTAAATGTTAACATATTGTAAATGAGGTCCCTTAGGACCTATTGAATTTTATTGAGAGAATAGGATTTGTAAAATAACACTTTCTTTTTTTTTTTGGCATATTTTCTTAGGATCTCTTGTAATAGGGTGATTTATTGATTATATGTATTGATTCTTCCTCTTATATTTCCAGTTTAATTTTTCAGTTTTTCTGTTTAAGAACTACTTCATTTAACTCTTCTTCTAACTGTGGATACATTATTACATGGTTCTTGGCATAAGCAGATAAAAAGATTGAACCCTGGGAAAATCACCCATCACTGTGGGTTTTTTTGTTTGGTTGGTTTTTTGTTGTGTTTTTTTTTTCCTGGTGGTTTTTTTTTTTCCTTATTTAAAGTAAATATGCACAACAGTTTATCTCTGATGGTAGGGTAGCATATAGCTTGGACATGCTGAAAGCTTTTTGATTTCCAGAAGCCTTTATTTAGAAAGATCAAGTCAATGTCTCTGTAGGAAAAATGTTGATTTTTAACTTTTTGTAGACACCCTTTGCTTTCTGAAAATGAAAGCTAATGCCACATGAGAAAATCACTATTAGCTGGACTGGCTTGTGTAGTTTAAACTCTTGAATCTGAAAGGCTCAAGAAGGCAAAAAAAAAAAAGACCTTTATAGGTGTTTTTACTAGTAAAAGTTTTGATGGAGCACATTAAGTTGTATAGAAAGCTTTGTGGGTGAACAGCGACCCATGGATCCAGAGAGTCAAGAATCTGAATACCATTGGAATTTAAGGAACAAAATAAATTTGCAGCTCTATTTGCTTGTGATTGCATGCGATTGATTAGTCCTTTGAGACTGCTTACAGTGAACAGCATTTTAATGGTCCTCAGTTGCTGTTACAAACTTGTTTTTACCCAGATATTCTTGGATCAGCGGAAAGATAGCGGAAAGATAGCATTTCCAACTTTCTCATGTGCTGTTGGAAGTTATCAAAACCTAGTTGCAGGGTCTTGGTAAAGATTGCTGAAATCCCTGTCTTGTCTCACAGAAAACAAACAAAAACCAGTTTGGGTACTGCGTTGTTATTGTCAATCAATTTCATTCCACAGACACTGTTTTACTGTTGATTAATATTAAAAGCATTCTGTCTTTAATTCACTTTCGGTTAAAAATCTAATTAATGATTGAAGTAGCATTTGAGAACTCATATATTTTTGGTGTTGGAACTGCTTTTCTTTAAATTTGTTAAGGAAGAGAATATTCAATTTTCAAAACATTTGTAGGCAACCATCGGTCAGTGAGACACACTGGAAGGAATTGCTCCACGATATGTTAGACATGCAGCAAAAAGTATATACATGCTTATATTCAGATACCTGCTATGAGGTGAGTCTTATGTTTTCTTACTGATTTATGTCCCAGGTAAGCTTCAAATTCTCATTTCATATTATTGCTCACACGTAAATACATTTTCATGTTATGTTGCTTGGTTGTCTGCTGACTCTTTCAGGGTATTTTAATTCAAATCAGAAATGTCCTATGTTAGTTCATTTTATCCAAAGCTCCTCTAATAAATAAATATCCTATATATCTTTTACTAGAATTCAACGTTTTTAAAATTGATTCAACTTCTTGAGACTTTGTAATTGTATTGACAAATGTGTTCAGTAATAAACACTTTAATGGAAATTAGCGATCTTTAATGTTCAACTTCAAGCATTTCTTAAATTTGGTTTGGTAATGTTATCCAAGATAATTTTAGGATTATGGACTTTCTGCTGCTTGCAGTTGAACTAAAATAATGTGAAGTGAGAAATCTAATTTCATTGAAGGGGAAGAAAAACCCAAAACCCTGCATGTGTATAAACCTCAAATCTATGCTGTTAATATTTGCAAAAGCCAGCTATTAGCCTGATGTAGAATTTGCTGTGACATGTATTGTTTATCTACATTTTCACTTCAAAATTCTGCAGTTTATTACAGAAACAGTGCCAGGTCCACTGTAGTTGTTTAAATCTTTTTAGTAAAGACTAAACTCAGTATTTAGTATCTTTTAAAAGTTTATGAGTGTTTTACTACTGTTTGCAGATTTAAGTACTTATGGCTACCAAGCTGATTAGCTCTTGGGAGAATTTTTGAAAGTGAATTGAAAAAAAAAAAAATGAAGGGGAAAAAGCAATGCTATTCAACCTATACATAAAATGTCCCTCTTTCTTTGTAGTTGTACAATTTTAAGTTACTCAAAGAGAACTGCAATGTCTTTAATGTTCATGGTTTTGTGATGGGCTAAGTCTTAGTGTACTTGAAATTTTTAAGTTCATTTAAATAAATTATAGTACTAGAGCACTCTGAAAGCTTTAAGTAGAAATCACTAGCTGTTCATTAGTTTTAGCTATACTTAAATAAAATGTGGAAATACTCCTCAGTAGAAGTTAAATTTTCTGTTTAGATTTAACATATTCTTTTGACTTCAAAGATCTTTTTATTCATAGATGTTGGTTCCATACAATGCAGATAAGCTTATTTGAAGCTCCTGCTGCAGATTATTAAATTAATGTTCTATCTTTTAGATATTCACAGAAAGCCTTTTATGCTCAAGCAGTATAGACAATATCCACTTGGCTGGGCAAATGATGCACTGCAGTGTTTGGTCAGCAGATCTAACAAGTTCATCAAAAGGGAAGCCACAGTACCGAGTCAGCTATGCGAAAAGTATCGAGCTAGTTTTGGCTGCTAGCAGAGAATATTTCAATTCTTCAACGAGTTTGACAGATAGTTGTATGGATTTGGCCAGGTAAATTTATAATTATCATATACGTAAATACATATTGTTCTTTTAATTGAAACTTGAATTATTATTTTCCCTGTAAGATGGTATGAATCTTATGTGTGTTTATCTCTCTTCATGTAAAATTACATGGTAAAGGGAAATTACATCTCTGGCTTCTGTAAGATTTTTTGTTTGTTTGGGTTTTTTTTTGTTTTTGTATTTCTTCCATGGCTTGCTTTGTGTGTGTGCACACCATTGCTGTCCCTGGTTGCTGGAGTTGTCTGTTACAGAATTCAAGTTGAAGAAGAAGAAGAAATGTGCAAGTCTTTTCCCACGGATAAGCAGCTTTTTGTGTGTGTCATTTGAACCTTTTCTATGTTACAATTGTGGGCTCCGGTTACTATCAGAATAGAAAATAGCATTTTGCTGATTCTTTAATTTCTTTTCTTACATTGATCTTTCATTGTTCCGAGAGTTCATTTGAGGCTGTCTCTCTGTTACATTAAGAAGTAAGCCAAATAGTTCTTCAGAAAGGAATTCAGACATAGAACAGCCTTGGAAGTTGCAGTGTTGGTGTTCGTTCTTGTACAGATTTATATATGGAAGTATTTTCTTTTACAGTTTAGATGCAGATAGGTGAAATAATTCAATATTACCTATGTAGAAGGTTGGTACTGGCTTACCCTAAATATTTAAAATAGATGCTTGTCTTAATATTTCCAGCCTTTGCATTTTATTCTAAGAATTTGCTGTTTCATTGGTGGTGGTGTTATGAGTTAATCAAAATGAGTTTTCCTTTTTCCTTAAGGCACTTATTAAAAAGCAAACAAACAACAAAACCCAACAAACCACAAACCAAACAACAAAAACAAAAATAAAATCCCATTATCAAACAAAATGTCTTTGCTATCTTCACTTAGACATGAGTACACTTACCTACTAATTACAAGAAAAAGATTAAATTATTTTTCTTCCCCTGAAGATGCAAATTCATCTTGACCCATAATTGTGTGTACATACACATTGCCAGGTTGGTTTTTTTTGACTGCTGACTATAGTAATACAGCCAAACTGTTTGTAATAATTATCTTACCCTTTTTCAAATTAAGAGTTTTTTCTTAATATTGTTGATATAAAGTTGTTGCATTCACAAATCATATATTTTGTGTTTGGGATTAAAGCAAGAGTATTTTTGCAGTTTGTCTTGAGTGACTGAAAAAGCTTTTTTTTCCTTTCTTATTTCTTCTCCTTAATCACTTGCAGCTTATTCCTCTCTGTTTTCATTTGCTGAACCTAGAAAGGAAACTGAATTTGTGACAGTGACTCTAAACATTTCACTTCCTATCAACTTTTTACAGAATTTTGCTTTTATTTTCTAGTATATGGCAACACCAAAACACAATAGTGATCCAAGAAATATTTCCCTAAATACGTACATATTTAAGTGCATATGTCTTCAACATCTTTCATTAAACTCGTTGCAGGTCTAAATTCAAGAAGATTTAGGTGATGTTTTTATCACAACTAGGTGAAGAAGATTCTGGCAATCCAATAATAGAATATTGTTTAAATGTTTAGCCAGCCATAACAGAGATATAGTAACAAACACTTTCAATGTGTGTTTCAGAACTAGTTAATATATATATTTTTAACTCACAGGTGGATTTTAAAAATAAATTTAGCTTTGAATTTGAACTCAAATTTTGAATTTAAATTTTTAGAAAGAAACGTTTCATTCCTATTTAGGTGCTGTCTACAACTTATTGTAGACTGTCCAAGTGCTATTCAGGAGGAGCTGGATCTCATTCGTGCTCTCGGCTACCTTGAAGAATTTGGCGTGAAAATTCTACCATTACAAGGTACTGCATGTTTTTATTCTATATATGGTTACTTGAATCACAGGCATAAATATGCATGACAAATAGTTTACTTACTGCTATTTCATGAGTAGACTGAAAGGTCCCTTCCCTGCCTCCAAGTAGCTTACAGACACATTTTAAAATAATTTTTCAGTTGATGTGAGATAAGAAAGATGTCTGCTTATGGAATCTGTGCTTTGGGACTTATTTTTAGCAGGTCTCTTTTTTAATAATTAGAGTACTGAATATCTGAAGCTCCTGGTGACTTCCACAGAAATAGTTTGAGCTTACCATTTATTTAAAAAGTAATCTCCACTTGCTTATGTGCTGATAAGCTTTAAAATAATGGGTGAGAAGGGTACTTCATTTGTAGGCAGCATTCATGTCTCCACTGGTCTCTTTCATTTGAATGTGTATGAAACCCAGTGACAACAGAAAGGTATTTCTTCTGATGACTTGTTTAAAACTTTGAATCTGTTTTGGAACTCTGACTCCAATGGTATGGAAAGTTGTTGGACAAAGTTGGGAAGAAAAGATGATTATGAACAATGAGCTAAAGGGGAAAAAGGAATATAATATTTCAAGGTTTACAGATTATGCCAGACTAACAAAGTTCATTGCTTTACGTGGTGGGTTGACCCTGGCTGGATGCCAGGTGCCCACCAAAGCCTCTGTATCACTTCCTTTCAGCTGAATGGGGGATAGAAAATACAACAAAAGGCTAATGGATTGAGATAAGGACAGGGAGAGACCATTCACCAATTAACACCATGGGCAAAACGGACTTGATCTGGGGAAATTGGTTTAATTTATTATCAATCAAACCAGACTAGGGTAATGAGAAATAAAAAGTAAATCTTAAAATACCTCTCCCCCACCTCTCCCTTCTTTTTGGGCTCAACTTCACTATGGACTTCCACTACTTCCTGCCCCAGAGCCATGCAGTGGGATGGGGAATGGGGGTTGCAATCACTTCATCACATGTTGACTCTGCTGCTCTGTCCTCCTCAGGGAGAGGACTCCTCTCGCTCTTCCCCTGCTCCAGTGTGGGGTCCCTCCCATGGAAGACAGTCCTCCACAGACTTCTCTGTGAGCCCTTCCCATGGGCTGCAGTTCTTCACAAACTCTTCCAGCATAGGTCCTTTCCACGGGGTATAGTCTTTCAGGAACAGGCTGCTCCAGTGTGGGTTCCCCACAGGGTCACAAGTCCTGCCATCAAACCTGCTCCAGCATGGGCTTTTTTTCCCCACAGATTTACAGATCCTGCCAGGAGCCTGCTCGAGCACAGGCTTCCCATGGGATCACAGTCACCTTTAGGGATTTGCCTACTGTGGTGTGGGGTCTTCCACAGGTTGCAGGTAGACATCTGTGCCACTATCGACTTCCATGAGCTGCAGGAGGACTGCCTGCCTCACCATGGTTTTCACCATAGGCTGCAGGAGAATCTCTGCTCTGGTGTCTGGAGCACCTCCTGCCCTTCCTTCTTCACTGACCTTGGTGTCTGCAGAGTTGTTTCTCTCGCATATTCTTATTTCTCTCTCTGCTGGCTGTTGTTCTGCGGCAGGGCTCCACCCCCCCCAGCCTCTACCCTTTCTTAAATAAGTTATCACAGAGGCGCTACCACTGTTGCTGGTGAGCTCAGCTTTGGCCAGCAATGAGCCTGCCTTGGAGCCGGCTGGCATTGGCTCTGTTAGGCACAGGGGAAACTTCTAGCAGCTTCGCACAGAAGGCACCCCTGTAGCCCTCCTGCTACCAAAACCTTCCCACACAAACTGAGAACACTTTATTAACAAACTCCCCACTTTTCTAAATGAAAGAAATACCAGAGAGCTCATCTACCTGGCTTTCAGTGAAGCTTGAATGTGCGGTGTTTGGGCAGCTGTGTGAAACTGCATGAACACTGGTGCTGAAAGCACTCTAAAAAAACTGGCCGAGAGCACTGAGTGCCAGTGAAATGTGCTGGTGCTAGTGTTTTACTTTAGGCGTTGTGCAGAGAAATACTGGGATTTATGGAGAGCACTTGTGGGTCTATGAAAAACGAAAAGGATGTTCATAGTGGCTGTTGTTACTTTACTTTGGCATCCCCTTTTGTTATCTTTTATTTCAAGTATTCCTTCAAAGTGACTGAGAGTAAGTCTGGCTTCTAGATCTTGCAATATTGCCCTGTTAACTTGTACAGAAGAATTATTTTTTTATCAATTTCTTCAGTCTGTAGAGAAGTACATGTATATTTTCAGTGTTGTATAAAGAAAGTGGCAACATAATATTGCATTAACAGTATATATAATACAACTGATCTGGATTAATTAGAAAATGTGAAATCGTCCTTGTAATTTCATTAATGATCCTGACATCCTTTCTTCAGTATCTTTCATGCAAATCAAATTAATCTAATAAGATTAAAATTATGTTTTAAAGTTTTAATGAAAGCCTTCAAATGGTCAGTTACTTTGAGAGACTATAATTAAATAGCATTAATGATCAGTTATTCCCACAGTATGAATTGGCAATAGACTTTTATTTGCACATTTATGTTTAGTTTTCTGTAGAGCTTCCCCCTGCCACTTGTATTTTGAGTAAACTCAGTATTTAAGGTTGTGAACTACTATTATGATGTATTTTAATAAAATCTGGTTTGGAGACTCCATATTAACATAAAAGTTGAAGAAAAGTCCATTTTTAATGAAAGTGCTTGACCCATGCTGCTGTTCCAAATTACTTTCAGTTACATTGGATATTTCAAAAAAATCTTGTTTGTAGAGTCAGTGGATAAAATCATTTTCCTGCTGTATACTAATATATGTGTGTGATATTAAACTAAAAGTGTAAACTTTTCCCATTCCTCCATTTTTAATTTGTTTTAGTCTATTTTGTTACAGTTTTAGACTAAAATTTTATACAATGAAGGCAATTGTTTAATTCCTGGTAAAATCTTCTTTGAAACAGTATTATAAGCTTCTCAGGATATGGTTAACACAACCTGGTGGTTTGCAGGCTATCCTTCCACTTGTTCAAAAGATATGTATTTGTAAATTAAAACAGCCTGAAGATTTTGCCTATGACAGTTCTTTCAGCCTATGTGATGTATCCTGTCCACCCTAAAATAAAATGTGGCATGAAATACTAGTTATTTACAATGTTTGGGGTGGATATATTGTACTGTTATTTTAACTTTCTGTTTATGGGTATAATTGAGGATCTGCATGTAAGTGACTTTGGGCTGGTTTTCAGATTGTGTTTGCATTCTTGTATTCCCTACCACTCTTTCTGCATCTCCGTTGCTTAACCAGAAATAGAGCAGTAGGATTCATTTGTGCAGTCACTAACGCCAGTTCTTTTTCAACAGTGCGTTTATGTTCGGATCGACTCAGTCTCATCAAGGACTGCCTTGCTCAGTTGTCAACAAACTATAAGCAGTCTGCGAAGCTCCTGGGACTTGCAAATTTGCTAAGAGTTGCAGGTAAGCTGTGTTAATAAGACATTGAATTGCAGAGCAACGTGCATTTGGGTTATGCTTTAGGGCACTTGAGGTGATCATTAGAATGTGTGTTCAAGGATATTGCTAAGGAGTCATCTAGAGGAGCTGTCATTGGGGAGGAATAAAATACTTTACAGAAATGAAATATTTTATCTGTAAGACAGCTGATATTGTCAGCTGCTCTGATATTTCACTAATACCTAAAATAAAACCAGCCTTGTCTAATCTGGATTTTGAGTAAAAGCTCATTTCAGATTGGAGGATTTGTGGCTGCGAATTTTGTCTTACAGTCTGCGAACTGTCTTACAGTTAATTGGTGGTACTGAAATTCCAGTAGATCTTATTGTCTCTGTCAAATAAGGTAGTTTCATGTAATAATAGTCCCATTTAAGTTTGAGGGGGGAAAATGTAATCTGTAGTGCCTAAACTTTAGCTGTTTGACTTCTGTCTATGTTTTGTGCATTGGAAACAATGTTTTAGCCTGAGAATTCATTTGAGGAGCTGAGTTCAGTAATTGAATCCTAAGAATATTAGATTTCTTTTTCTTTTAGATAGCCTTCATAAAGTGTCTGGCAGACCTTTTGATTTTTTCAAACAGTACTTCATCAGTGTAACTGCAAATACAGCACTGCCAATTTTTATGGTATAGAAACAGAATATAGAAATATAGGATATAAACCAGTTCATATTTCATGCAGTGCGGTATATAAAATCTATGCATTCCGGCGTTGTCACTGGTGCGTGCTTGGCTGATTCTTTCTGTGTTTGTTAAATCATTTAAGGATTTTTTTCTTTTTGATTATTTTCTTTTTTGATATTGTCACAGTTCACACACATGGATTTTAAGACTTGTGAATTAGTATTTTTTAATTTTAAGCTGAATATTAGAAAAGGAAAACTTTCCTTACAGTTTTAGCACAGATAGTCTTTGTTCAGCAAGTTTAATATTGCTGGGAAAGAATAACTTGATTTCTAACAGCTTATGATTAAGGGGAATGATTTTATGGAGATACTTTGGGATGAGTCTGGATATTGGAAAAGAATCTAGGGATTGAACTTTATGGACTTGCTTAATGAAGAATTAGATAAAGTGCTACTGGAAGAAAGAATTGTTTTTCATTCCTAATTGGTTTTCACTGCTTATACAATTATCCTGATTTATGAGCCACCTTTGCAGTGAAAGAAGTTCTAATTTTGTCCTACACAACTGGTATTGGTTACACGTGCTCAAATTTGCAGTCCCTTCAGTTCCTGATCCACCATGTGTATCTACCAGTAGAGTGCTTTCTTGTGCTTTGTCTTATCTGCTAATTGGAGGAATTTGTTTCAGAGCATCCTGCTTTTGTCCCTACCCAATCTGATGACTGATTTTGAAACACCTACTTGCTAAACCTAACCATACATATATAGATTTTATATATATGTGTACATAGAGAGTATATGATCTATGCTGTATTATACTATATGTAACATATAACCTATGAAATACTGTGAGCATGTATATTTCAGTTTTAATTCTAAAAGAGTATGTCTGCTATGCATGCAAGGGTAGAGTGCACATGGTCCTCCTCAAGGAGCTTTGGGGCTGTGTTCTCTGAATACAGTTTGTTTAGAGAGCAGCACTGAAATATGTAATGTGTATACATATACAAATGAGTAATAGAATTTATAGTCGTACTTATCAAAGCTAAAATATTGCTTAGGTAATGATATATCAGCTGGCTTCTTAATTGCTTTAAAGTATTTGACTAATGACAGTTAACTCTACTTAAGCCTCACATCACTACCTCTGTAAAGTAGACACACAAGTGTTATCTTAATTTCACAGATGGGCAAAGCGAGTGAGGGAGAGTGTGCTCAGCATGACAGCCAGAAAATCAGCACCTGCTCAGCGAGCTGGAGCTGTTCTATATCTTGCAATGCTCACTTAATCCATGCTTTCAGTTAAGAAAAGGTGTGAAAGGATTCACTTTAAGTAATTACTCACTTACAAAGTACAGGAGCAAGAAAAGAGTAAAAAAAAAATTCTTAGGTATCAGATCAGAAATTAAGAGCATTTTCTCTACTGTTACTGTGTATTAAAAGTGTGTAGTTAGTATTGTTCTTGATTACATGAGTCAGACTTTCTACATATGTTTTCTGTTCATTATTCTCTCTTCTCACAACTTATTAGTTACTTTACTCCATAAGCTAATTCTAGTAAGCTTAAGCTTTGCTCACATTCCTAAGTTGAGGCATATTTTTGAAATTCATCTTCTTTCTTGACTTTATTGCTTAATGCATGTGGAAGTAACCATGCAGCTGGTTTCTGATCTGCTAAATGTAGGTGTCGTGGAATTTCTGAAGTATACATACAACTTTGGTACCATTTGACTTTTAAATTTTTATGACATGGTTTCACTCAGGATAATTTTGCTTCATCCACTCACAAATGCAGCATACGTCTTACCCAAAGTGTTTCTATAAAAAAGCTTACTTTTTTCTTTATATGACCCAAATTGGATCAAAAATTTTAAAAGTATTGGACATCCTTTATTTCTCAAGAAAAAAATGTTTTTGGACTATTTCTGAGCTTCCATATTTTTCCTCTCATCATTTTTAATGAAATCACAGAATCATGTAGGTTGGAGAAGTCCCTTAAGATTATCAAGTTCAACCATTAACCTAACACTGCCAAGTCCACCACTAAACTGTGTCCCTAGGCACCACATCTACATGTTTTTTAAAACACCTCCAGGGATGGTAACTCCACCACTTTCCTTAGCATCCTGTTCCAAAGCATGACAAACCTTTTGGTGAAGCAATTTTTCCTAATATCCAATCTAAACCTCTCTTGGTGCAACTTGAGGCTGTTTGTCCTCATCCTATCAGTTGTTACTTGGGAAAAGAGACTGATACCCACCTTGCTACAACCTCCTTTCAGGTATAATGCCATGTCTGCTTGTATCAACTTTTATCTGAATACTAAACACCGTAACAAAAGGATATGGAAAGAACTTTGGAGACTTAAAAATGTTAGTGAGTGGAGTAACCCTTTTGAATATAAATGCATTTTCCTTGACATAAGGAGGCAATAGTCTGAAGGAGCTGAACACACACAAACTCTCACAAATAGTGAGAGGGAATCAAAAACTAAGATACCCTTTCCAGTTTCTGACCTCGTTGTTTCAATTCTGGATGTCTGACATTAACATCGAGACCTAATGCAGAATTATTATGTGGTATAGTATGTTCACTATTGTAATGGTTTTCTCATTGAACCTTTCTTGGTTTTAAAACTTGGATGTCTGTCAAAATGGCAAGGGGAACTAGGATTCAAAACTTTGTTTTATAAGACTTAATTATTAAAAGTGCCTTGAGTGCAGTGAATTTTATCACGTTTGAGTAGAAGAACAAGACCATGCTGCTAACTTGCAGCGGGGGTAGTATTTGAAGTGTCTGCACTGTTGAGGCAATGAAAGCCATGTGAAAAAGGGCTTGGAGTTGTGCTGGGATTCACTACTCATGTTGTTGTTGTTCTGCTCATGATGGTTGTTCTGTGGCATTACAGTGTGTGGCAAGATAATGAAAGCTCAAATGAGTGAACAGTGGAGATAAGATGAGCAAGGGTAGCCATGGACTGGAAAGAAAACAATCCTTACATTTTATGCTTGCGGTTTTGTAAAACATGGAGAGATGTATCCTCCTGCATCAAAACTTGATTAAGTAAAATGTTGGAGATGAGGGACTTGCCAGAATGCAACTGCTCAGGCAGTTAAGGAGACTGTTATTTACTCCAAGTGATCTTCCTCTCTTCCCTCCAATCCCAATGATTTTTTTAAGTAGGAATGAATAGCAGTGATTATTTTGTATAGCTGAAATCTGAGGAACAGTATTTTGTTTATTTCTCTTGCCTTGTGTTTCTGTCTGCTACTTAGTCAGATCTCTCTGCAAGTAGTAAAGTTGTCAGGGTGAAGTGGGCATCAGAAGGTGAGTGGCAAGTACGAATCTCTTGCTTATAGAAATGGCAGTTTGCATTTAGCTTGTGTAGATAGAAGCATCTCTTTGTCATCTGTAATTGCTTTTGCCCGGATGAGAGGTTCCCAGGTTCCAGAGGGCAAAATTTTGCGACAGAAGAGCCTTGGATGTGATTAATTTGCAACATTGTGTGTTGGCAGTATATGGAACAAGAGGCCAAAAGATAAAATGATGGGAAGCCAACCTGTTCTCCCAGCTGAGTTAGTTATGATGTGCTGGGATTACGGGAACCTTGATTGAGTTCAATAATTAGGTAGCTTCACTTCCCTGAATGTCATTTTAGTGCAACTGATACATCTTCTCGTTTGAGAAAGCTTTAAAAAGAAATTTGCCTTGCCTGTATTGATGTACCTGCAAAGTAGAGTTAAAAATAACAGCTTTGCAATTTGAGAACACGTACTCTTTAAATGGTTTTTGGAACCAGACCTGTTTAACCTTCTGAAATACTTGCATTTCACAAGTTGTAGTAATACAGTTTCATAAACCAATGCCCTTTTCAAATGACTATAACAGCAGTGACTTTGTAAAATAATTTTTAATAATAGAGGAGAAACATGGGTATAAAGCTTGTATTGAAAAAATCCACTCATTTTTACTAGTTTCTTGCCATCCTTCTTTCCTAAATTAAAATGAATAGCGTGAAATTATTTTTCCTGTGTATGTTTAGTCATGTTCTCATGTAGTGCCTGGACATACACATTATTTTGAGCACAAGAGGGGACCAACTGGTGTCAGTAAAGTAAATAACTTTCATCAGTAGTATCTGAAGTGTTACTTTCGACTCATAACTTGAGGAAGAGGCATCGTCCAGAAGATTTGGTGACCAAGATGTGAGTATGGTGTGGAAAAATAATTTCAGTTCTACATGCTCAATTCATGAGGGTAGATATTTCTTAAATATCTCTGTCTTCCACATCTCATGAATTATTTGGCTCTGTGAAGTGGGAGTTTGAACTGGGGCTTTGTATACTGTAACAAAACAATTAAAAATTTCCAAATTCTTCTATTAAATGTTTTTTTTTTTTCCAGTACCTTAAATACCAGTTTTGTTCTATATCTTGGCCAACACATCAATACAGTTTCAAAACCCTTTCATTTTTTTTAACCTAGACAAAACATGCTGTATAGGATTTTTTTAAAGACAACTATGATGCCAGTGGTTTTCTTTTAAATGCATAACTTTTTATTGTTTCCTTCAGGAAAAGGCAGATAACTTTATTTCTGCTTGTTTTGAGACAGGCTTTTTATGTTGTGTCATATGATTTTCTTAAGAAATGAAGTAGCAAGCTGAAGTCGAACGTTAATTTGAATTAACCGATAAAAATGTTGAACTTTTTTTTTTTGCAGGAGATGATCAGATGGAGAGAAAAGGTCAAATTTTAATACTTTTAGTGGAACAAGCTCTCAGTTTCCAAGACTACAAAGCAGCCAGTATGCATTGCCAGGAGCTCATGGCCACAGGTGACGTGAATAAATGAGGGTCGTGTGGGGTGATAGTAGTGGAAATCTGAGTTTTGACTTTTGACTTACTGTGAAGTAAGATACTTCAGATCAATCCATTTAATTTAAAAAACAGTTGTGTTTTGTTTGTGCTGTCCCACTTGTTCGTCTCTGGAAATAATTAACAGAAATAAAATTTTATCAGCCAGCTTGGTAGGGAACTTTTATTTAGTTTTCAATCTGAAACAATATTACATTCTGTAGTAATAAGTGCTGATTTTTGTTTCTTATAAAGTTGTGTGCATGTTATAAAAGATAGTTCAGATATCTTTAAACTGGCCTTATATTTTTAAGAGACATTTGCAAGGTCTATTTGCATATCTCCAAACTTAATTTCTTGGCTTTCTCACAAAAGTTGTGTGTAATGTATAGGAGCTGACAAGATGAGGTGACAGCCAGATTCCTGTAATCTCCTCCTAAAGCAGGAAAAATGGATCTTAGCTGTTTGTGATATTACTTTTGCAAGACAAAAACATGCAAATGTTTTTGCCATATGCAATGCACAAATACATGCAATGGAGATGTACGCAGCAAAACTGTATGTAATGAAATAGTTACTGAACTATTCGATATGGAACCTTAGGGAGCTTTTCTGTGCACATCAGGGAACCACGATTTCTCGTTTTCTACACTGTATCTCTTTCGAACAAGTGAAAATATGTGACTGCAGCTAGTAGAAATGTGCAGATCATTTAGATATCTACTTTTCTATCAAAACTCTTAAAATATTTGTGGCATTTATGTAATTTGTATATGTGAGGGTATGAGTGGAGATAAATTACGTACGTGTCAAGATACTGAGGAAGATGGGATTTCTCTTTGGCTCTTGAGATTGAGGAGGAAAAATATGAGATTAATTGAGGTTCTTTTTATTATATTAAGTCATATATTTTAGTTTTATGTTTGGTTGTGGTTATCAAGGATAAGAGGGTCATTAGGGGCAG